CAAAGCTGACCCACCCGAAGTTGGCTCATGAACCGATTCCACATCAGTCCTTGAAGTGAGCCAAGATTGGGTAAGTGAAAAAGCACAAGTTGGCTAACTTCTGATTTCGGTCTGATTTCTCGGAGGGAGTAAGTTGGCTCACTTTTCTGGAATTGGGTTGAGCCAACATGGGATCAGTGGTTGGAGTGGTAAAAGTAGTACTTGGATTTGTAACATTAGTACTTGGGGTTGTAAAATTAGTACTTGGAGTGTCTATCCTCTAATACAGTAGTATAGGGGGAGGGGAAACTGTATGAGAGCCCTATCTCCTGGTAAGAGTCATTATCTAATAGAGTCATTATCTCACAGAGTCATTATCTCACATGTTCCCCTAGTAGTATAGGGGGAGGGCGAGTCTTGGGAGGTCGGCCCGAAGGGCCAATCGAGAAAGTCGATTTTGGCTCACCTTGAAGTGAGCCAGAACCCCCCCCCCCCCCTCCCCCGATACTACTCGCAAAAACCCTGGATCGGGGTGGTAGACAAGAATAGATCCAGTAGCGTGGCAGTACTGCTGGTCGCTCGGGTAGGATATGTGACGTGGTTACGAAGGTTAAACTGGTCAAGTACATGATGCAAAGGAGTCACAGCATGGGCATCATTAAAGTTCACGTTGAAGTCTCCTACTAGCACAGTTGTGGTCTGCGGTCCACTGCAGGCAGTCTCTAGGTTTGACTCCAGCCCATCCCAGTAGCCCGCAGGTTCACTAGGTGGTCGATAGCAGCAGCCCAGTGAGACCGTTTCATTGCCTGGTCGACCAGGGGCTAAAATCTCCAGCCACAGCATCTCCAGCTCACACTCGAGGTCACGTCTTCGATGGACTCGCAAGGACGTATGACAGTAGAAGGCAACGCCGCCTCCTTGCCTGCCTTCCCGATCTTTGCGGAACACACTAAAATGAGGAATGTTTACTTCTCCGTCTGTTACATCGGCTGACAGCCAAGTTTCCGCAACGCCTAGGATGTGTACTCCATGGGTTGAGATAAAGTCTTCAATTTCTGCTACTTTTCTCCTTAGGGCCGATTCCCACTACGGTACCGTGAGTGCCGTGCCGTGAGTACCCATGGTGATTTGCTCACGTGAGGGGCAGTTTTGGCGCGAGTTCATTCCGTGGCTCTTGCCGTATCGCGCCGTGGACATTCCGGTACCAAGGGCCTCTGGGGGATGGAAATGGCATGCCGTGGCATTCCGGGAGGTCGAATGCAGTGAGTAGTAGGTATTTTACTACTCCCTGAAAGGAAGTTTTTTCTTTCTTTTGTATTTGTGGTACGAAGTTTTTTCTTGGCTTTTGGCTTTTCGATCGGTTGATTCTTCAACTTTTTCCAGTCATCTCCCCGGCCCCCGCTATTTCCCTCAGGACCAAAGTCAGAAATTGATTAAAAAAATGGTGATCCGGTCTGCCAACGGAATGCACGGAATGACTGTGCACAGGTGTAAATCTCTCTCAGCTTCAAGCTCGTACCGTGGGGTACACGTAACCTTACCAAATCGTCGGCACGGCACTCACGGTACCGTAGTGGGAATCGGCCCTAATAGGCCATTCACACGACGGGCAAACTTACTTTTATCGTACCGTTTCCTAGGATATTTACTCGGATACGATAAACTTGGACACACGCGTGCAAGTGATTTTTAATCTTGGCCGAGGCCCTTTTGCTCGCGATTATCTTTGCACGACAGGAAAAGTGTCGGTTGTTGAAAGTGCGTACTGCAAATGCAGTGTTCGAACAAGGGAAAATTCAAAATTGAACATTTCCCGGCATTTTCAGGAGGTCACTATGGATACATTGACGGTTGCAAAGTTTGCCCAGCACCGTTTGAACTGGATCACGGTTTGCCAGTGTTATCTTGGTCACACAAGTGCAAATGTTTGCACGTCGTGTGAATAGCCTATAGTCCTTATGCACATTGTACAGATGTACGAAGTTCTGTACTATGGCCGTAGGTGTGTACATACCCGGTTGGGTGTTCATTGTGTGCTATACATGCGCGTTTGACCCATTTAGCCTCACAATTCATGGCAAACGATCACTTTTCAAGCCTTCTTCACTTTGGGATTGAACTAACGACTAGCTAGATCTCTGCCGGAAAAAGATTTCGTATGAAATGCCTTCATGGCCCATTTCATAGTGGAAATAGCAGTAAACACAATAGGGTCCTGCACATTCAACACCCAACCGGGTCTACGGGATTCTACAAGATTATACGGGATTTCGTGCATCTGTACAATGTGCATAAGGCCTATTCGGCTACAGACATTTAAGAAAGCTACACTGGTCATGATCTAATACGATATGGTGAGTTCGCCAACTGTCATGTGCCGGTCGCTGCTCTTGTTGTTACCCATGTCCTCCTGTTCCATGTCCGAGTCAGTCAGTAGCTCAGTTCCTGAAAAGTCAACAAGTGTTCTTGGCAGTCTGAAGGTTTTCCGTCCCTTGGCCACAATAAAGCCTCCCTTGTCATGGAGTCTGGGAGTGCTTAGAAAAGTTCGTTCATAATGTTTCATTAAGAGAGCATGTCTGAGAAAACCAGAACATATGTGCAAGTCGATCTCTCAGATTTCGCTCAAATTTTGCAGGTAGGTTTGCTTTGGGGTGTAGATCGACATTCCAAAGCCCGCGCAAAATCTTTTGAAGGGAACCATGAAATTGGCATACCCCTCAATATTGGCCCAATATTGGCACGATTTATGGGTCTACAAACGAGCCACGGCACAGCGTACAAGAACAAGCTACGAACAAAACTCCATCAAGCCAACAGTACTTTACCTTAGAAAATTTCTTCGGCCAGCACCACTTAGCCACGGCACCATCCCAGAAGACCAGGGCAATCATCCCTTGACGCCACAAATGATCGTCTTGAAAATAGCCAAATTACAAGCGCTGATAAAACAGCGAGCTACGTCCTCAATTAGCAAACACTATACACCGGCAGATAGTAGAACACCTCTTCTAGCATTGAGGACATGTCCCCCATCATCCTTTTGGGGTTTTCTTGAAATAAACATTTTTGAATTTTTCCACTCGACCATTTTGAATTACGTCCAAACTCATACCTGCGCAGGAAAGCTCGCCCCTCCGCGACGTCTAGTCAGCAATTTCTACTCCAACACCACTCCCAACGCTGCAGAACAAAGTGTATTGTTGACTCTGACAAGGAAAAGCAGCGGTGATCACTTGTCACTCCAAACGACAAGCTCCTCCTTGCGCCACCAACATTTTTCGGCGCAACAGTTGATGCAAAAGTGACTGAATTTTTGCGTGTAGTTTTTGGAGTATACTGCAAGAGGAATGATGAAATCACGTGCCTCGTGACACAAGAATGCCAGGTCTCGTAGATCACGGTTCAGTAGTTGTTCCGAGTCACCTTGATCAAGCGCTCCTGCACTTACGTGGATCACCCGTTGATCTAGATCGGATCAAGTGCATCTTGATGTCCAGCTCAAGAACACGCATGTCGTGTTGTAGGCCTTCCAGCTGGGACTTTCCCTCAACACGCAGCACAGAGACTACGCGAGTAGGGTCAAATCACGTTGTTCGTGACGTAAGAAATCTGCCATGTGGCCGTGGGCGCGCCACATACTTCATGCACCCAGTGTTGGCCGGGCGCTGGTCAACTCCAAGTCCAAGCGACCTTGATGGCATGGACCACGCTCATTCCTTGTTGTTGCAGATCTACGTGGATCATCAGCATGTAAACCAGCCGTAGTTCCTGTTGAACCATGTTGGGGATGAGCAAGGTAAGTGTGAAATAATGCAACCCCCGTTCTTACTGCAAGAGGAAATATCTCAATACTGCTAGCGTTATAACCATAGTTTCTGCATGTTCTGAGCAGAGCATGCAAGAAATATAATGCATCTTACTTCCTCCCTCATGGTCCGTTTCGAATAGCGCTTCTGGAACGATCGCGATCGTGTGCATTGTGTCGTGCACCAGAAAGCATTATTCTACGTCACGATCCACGTGATTTCTTCATTCCTCTTGCAGTAAAATCCAAAAGCTACACGCAAAAATTCAGTCACTTTTGCATCAACTGTTGCAACGAAAAATGTTGGTGGCGCAAGGAGAAGCTTGTCGTTTGGAGTGACAAGTGATCACCGCTGCTTTTCCTTGTCAGAGTCAACAATACATTTTGTTCTGCAGCGTTGGGAGTGGTGTTGGAGTAGAAATTGCTGACTAGACGTCGCGGAGGGGCGAGCTTTCCTGCGCAGGTATGAGTTTGGACGTATTTCAGAATGGTCGAGTGGAAAAATTCAAAATTGTTTATTTCAAGAAAACCCCAAAAGGATGATGGGGGACATGTCCTCAGTGCTAGAAGAGGTGTTCTACTATCTGCCGGTGTATAGTGTTTGCTAATTGAGGACGTAGCTCGCTGTTTTATCAGCGCTTGTAATTTGGCTATTTTCAAGACGATCGTTTGTGGCGTCAAGGGATGATTGGCCTCGTCTTCTGGGATGCTGGCGTGGCTAAGTAGGACTGCCCCAAGAACTCTTCTAAGGTGAGGTAATGATGGCTTGATGCAGTTTTGTTTGTAGCTTGTTCTTGCACGCTGTGCCGTGGCTCGTTTTTTGACCCATAAATCGTGCCAATATTGGGCCAATATTGAGGGGCATACCAATTTCATGGTTCCCTTCAAAAGATTTTGTGCGGGCTTTGGAATGTCGATCTGCACCCCAAAGCAAACCTACCTGCAAAATTTGAGCGAAATCTGAGAGATCGACTTGGTCATATGTTCTGGTTTTCTCAGACATGCTCTCTTAAAGTTCATCACCATTTTCTAGTAACCAGACCAGGTGAGAAGGCATCGGTACCTGGACATGTGATGAAGTAAAGTAAAATACCACAGTCATAGTACCGGTAGTTAGCTTGTCTTACTATCAGCGGACATCACATTCAGTGCCCTTAATTAATGACTTTAGTCTAAAATTATCCATGTATGGTACTTTCCCTCAAATGGTACTCACTATTTATTCGGGATTCAGGTGGGTAATCCATGGTGCAGTTTCCATTTCCGCAGTCTTCCACTGTGTTTTGGCAGTCTTTAGCCATGTAACAGTAGGATTGATTCAGGCTTAATTCGTTCTCACAAGTGCAAATGTAAGTAGAACCTGCTTTTTCGCATTGTGTGTATCCAAAACAAATTGGAAATTGTCCATTTGCCAGGCATGTGTATCCAGGTGATGAACAATTCGGTGTAATAACTGGTACGGACTCATTACAACGGCAGTAGTAGTCAAAGCTTCCGTTATTGTTGAACTTCTGAAAATGTCCAGGTGCACAGGACTTTGACACTGTATAGCATAAGACATGAATATACGAGATATGATTTGACACTATGCTGACAAGACATAACTGCCTGACACTAAGAAGTAGAACACCCTTCAGGCTCATGAACATTTTGAACGTTTTTACTAGTACGAAATACATTTTCATGCCTGATCATCAAACCATGGACAATGGATTAAAGGTTTTTCCCTTCCTCATTGCACTGTTTCTATCACCTCTCTACTTTATTTAGTCCATTGTCCAAGTTCATTTCATTTTTCCTGTATCTCATCTGATGATAAGGCATGAAACTATACAAGTGAAAACTTTCAAAAAGGTTCAAGAGCCTGAAATGTGTCCTACTTCTAAGTTTTAAGAAATAGGAAAGAGTAATAAGTTACTAGTTATGAATAACAGTTAAAGATAACTTATACAGCAAAGAAACAAAACAAAACAAAACTAACAAGGATATTGAGACATTCGACACCTAGCTCCAAAGCATCTACTAAGCGCTAAACAACAACCGTCCAACTTGGAAGGCTCCAATTAAGCGTTATTTTCGCGCTACTTGACTGCGAAAGATACCGTCACCTTGGTTGACTGTTAGTCATAACTAGTCACGTATTGGTCCTTTTCTCGTCTTTGCGTATTGTTTTGGTCCACCATCCACGTTTAAATAGACACACCTGATCAGCCGTCCGTCACCCGCAATATGGCAGAACGTACGTCATGGGAAACTAATAGTTAATATTCGTAACTTGTCTTTCATTGTTACATGAACATCGCGTTTAGTAGAATACTGTAGTGACTTTCTGTTTGTGGCAGTTCGTTTTCATAATTCGATGTTACCATTTTGATTAGGTCTTTCGATTCAGGTTTCGCAATTCGTCATGGAAATGTCCTTGGCAACTACGAATACGGGAGGTAGCTTGGCGTACGGGTGTTTATATGCATACTTGCTAGGATCATGGAATTAAGGGATAACATGTGTACCTGGTAAACCAAATGTGTACAGGTCCTCTCTCGTCAGTAGATTTTTTGTATCTTCAACACAAGCATCTGCATGCCGCACTCACATAACGAGCAACCAGTTGTGGGAATAGGAGGGTTTGTCAATTGCTTTGCCAGGCTCGGAGTGAGTGAGTGAGTGAGGAGTGAGTGACAGCTTAGAGCTGTGCCAATGTTTGTGTTGAGGTCTCCAATGCGCTGAAAAATCTGAATAATGGAAGGTCCCCTGGCCCACATGGAGTCCCAGGCGAACTCTTGAAATATGGAAGAGAAAACCTAGCACCTCACATTGCCTGTCTGTTCAACAGCATGTTCACAACTCACCAGCACCTTGACCTGGGATGCGGCACACTGGTACCGTTGCAGAAACCAGGAGAGACGGTTGGACCGCCTGGAAATCTGCGCCCTATTGTCCTCCTTACATCACTACGCAAAACGCTCTCCATCATTACATTGCTAAGAATATCGTCGAAAGTCGGTGAGTACTTGTCTCCGACGCAGAGTGGTTTCAGAGCAGGCCGATTTACAGCGGACCTTGTTTAGAGCCACATATGGTTTGCGGCAACATGTCAGCATTATCGGCGGAAAATGACCATTCTGGGAATCGACATGTCCAAAAGCATTCGACTGTATACGTCGTGACAAACTGTTGACAGTTCTCGAGTCTTTCCTGACGGAGGATGATGTTCGGCTGGTTAGAGTGCTGTTGACCAACACAACTCTGCAGGTGCGCATCAGTAGGGCGGTATCAGAGTCCCTTGAAACTGCAATTGGCATCCGGCAGGGTGATCCTCTTTCCCCAGTGTTGTTTGTTATATACTTAGAGGCAGCGCTGGGAGATCTGAGGAGCACCCAGGTGGCACGAAACAGACCGCCAATGGATCAAAGCATCAACATTCCATTTGAGCTTGTCTACGCAGATGACACCGATTTCATAAGCCTTAGTCGTCAATGGCTCACAGAGCTCGAACGGGTCATAGACCACACTCTCCGGCAGTGGGCCCTGAGAGTCCACAACACCAAAACTGAGTGGACAGAGCTGGATCGATATGTAGACAGAATTGACGAGCGCTGGAGGAGATCCCGAAAGCTGGGCTCACTCCTGGGTGACATTGAGAATGTGACACGTCGCCGTAAATTGGTGGAGGCCGCCTTCCGATCCATGTGGTCTCTTTGGAAGCGCGGAGGACTGATCCAGGAGCCTCTGCGTATCAGGTTGTACTGCGCCTTTAACAAGCCGATATTTCTCTATAATTCAGGCACCTGGCGCCTGACGGTTGCTAGCGAACGGTCCCTGGACGCTTTCTATAGAAGGCAGCTCAGGTCACTTCTCGGCATCACATGGCCACAGAAGATTAGTAATTTGGCGTTGTATGCCCGATGTGGAGTGGAGCCAGTGTCGGACTTGATCCGAAATTCATGCCGGAGTCTATTCGGGGATGTGCATCGCCTGGGTAAGGACACGCCAGCACGATTGAGCATGGGGCAATACTTTCAGGCACCCGATGGGAGGTAGCATGGGAGGCCGAGGGTGACACTACCAATAAAGCTCCACGATCTGTCCCAGTCGAACAATGGGCACCTGCGGAGTGTTGAGGACTTGCGCCGTCTGGAGCGGGTTGCTGGGGACCGTCCAGCATGGAACGCGCCGGTGAAGAGTGTTTGTGCACACCCTCGTCACGAGTAGAAACAGCCATGGCACACTAGTATAAACTCATAACAACCATTCTATAATAATATTACTATTTGAATCTTTTAATAATTATCTGGCAACTCAACCTCACACGTATAATTATCTGGCCACCCATTGACCATGGTGCTACATGAGGAGACAATAATGATGACACTTTTCAAATTTTATGACGCTCCATGTTACTGAAGGACTAACTTCGATCATTGGTTTTGTAGAGCCCCATTCTCTAGGAGCTGTCTACATCTGCTTTGTTTCAATGTCCAGCATAAGCGAACGTGTGGATCAAGCATAACTGCTTGGTTGACGCTGCCGCGGGAATGCGTATAATAATAATAATAATAATAATTTGAAACTCGGATGTTGAGCCATAAATAAATGTAGAAAGGAAAAGGACATATATATATATGATATGAGTGAAGAGTAACTCTCCATCACTGTAACATGATGCTTTATACAGTCAGAAAGTGCAATATCTAGGCACAAAACTGAAGCTGCAGGAAGCCTCAGCCCTTCTTCAAAACTGACAGAGTACTGAGATATTCGGCGTCCTGACACCCAGCTTCAACACATCTCCGTAGCGCTAACCGACAGCCTTCCAACTTGGAAGGTTCAAGGATACGGAAAGACCAAAGAGGGGAAGGCAAGCGCAACGAAAAGGAGCAAAAGCTACAGTCCCAACGGAACAAAGAATGTCGATTGTTACTGGACGATGACGACACCAGTACGATATTTGACAAAGCGGTCTAACTACAATTCGAAGCAGCAAAGCAGCACACCACCCAACTTGGGTGCGAGCTTGGAGCAATTGAGTTGGAGCCATGTGAGAGCGATGCCAGGTACTATGTACCGCATCATGGTGTATTCCGCGAGAACGCTGCAACCACGAAGTTAAGAGTGGTTTTCAATGCCTCGGCGATGGCTCCAGATGGCAAGTCGTTGAATGACATGGCTGACCCTGGACCGTAGCTATTGCCAAGTCTCGCGGGTATCCTATTAAGGGTTCCGTGAATATACGAGCGCGCTGCATGCGGAAATCCACAAGACTTTCTTCATGGTCGCGGTTAATCCGGAAGACCGTCCATACCTGTGTTTCCTGTGGCCCTGTCGAAGCGACAGCGATGAAATGTTAACCTGGAGGCCAATGAAACGGCCATTTGGCGGATGGAGAGCGTGAGCATGTATTGCCCCACCCGACCCCAGCAAGACTATGTACGTTTTGTTGCTCGTGGTACTGGTGCGGCTAACCGTAGTCGTGGCCAGAGTTTTTCCAGGCCTGTCCATGGAGTGTGCCATGGATGTGGTAAAGAGGGCCATTTCATTCCGTCTTTCCCACACTCCTAAAAAAACTAGGTTGGACAGGTGACACTGGGCCGCCGTCAGTCGTCCGAGTGGAGCCCCTTGAGGAGGCACGTGGTGCTATCTCACCCATTATTGTGCACGTTGATGTTTGTCTTTCGTCTTCGTCTTCGTCTTCGTCTCCTGTTGTTGCTCTTGTTGATTCTGGTTCAAGCGTGTCGTTAGTGCATTCAAAATTGTTGTGTAATTTGACAGAGCAACCTCCTCTAGAGTCTGCCACGCGGTTTTGTGCAGTCAATGGCGCATAACGTCCTGTCGTTGGATCCATGGATTTGTGTATGTCGCCTGGAAACTTGGCTTTCCAGCACACGGTTGTTGTGTCTCCTGGTATCCACTGCGACATGGTTCTTGGCTCCGATTTTCTGTTGCAGCATGGTGGTGTGTTAGATTTTGCTCGTGATGTTGTGATGTTTGGCGATGGGTCTGTTCCGTTGCATGATTCTGGTTTCTTGGTGTCCTCCGTCACGTACGCCCTATGATCGTATTGTTCCGCGTAATACTTCCTCCTCATGTTATACTCAAATTCCTCATTCTGAATCTGATGCATGCTCCAACGATGTACCCGTTTCGGCTTATTCTTCTCGTGTTGCCCTTGACTATGCGTTGTCTGTGCCTGCTGGCCATGTTGTGCTAGTACCATGTGTCTATGTGGATGCTTGTTCAGAAACTCTGGATTGTGTTGCTGATCCACTAGAGTCGTTTGTGGCTAAGTTTCCTACGTTGTCGGTGACACCTGCACTTGTAACAGTGGATCCCGATCACTCACACATTATTATTTATTTTATTTTATTATTATTCCACAATCACGATGACAGTGCCAATAAGCATGTGAAGCGGGCGATTTTAACCAGCCATGGTGGGGACAACTGAGAAAAAGAAGAAGAAGAAAAAGAGAAAACAAAGCAAAACAAAAGGAGTACTAAAGGAACCTGGAGAGAGCAGTATGAAGATTAGGCTAGCAATGGAAAA